AACAATAGAAGGAGGCCTGATCATATGACGGGGAATGTAATATCTATTCATGTGCTCTGCTGCATATATTCATTTCATACATGTAACACTATTCACAGAAAGCTGCATTTACAGAAATGGATTTCACACTAACCTCTGCACTCACACAGAGGAGAAACACTCTGCCAGAACACTCTGCTGGCTCACTTTGAATGTCCTCTCTGCCCAGCCGTTTTTTTTTGCCCCAGACTGTTTTTGATGTTACTGTACTGTTTGGTGGGGGTTCTATTTTTGGCAGGTGAGGGGTGATTCGGGGGGAGAGGAGGGAGGGGTGTGTGTGTGTGTGTGAGTGTGTGTGTGTGTGTGTGTGTATCGTGCCTAGTCCAGCCTGGCTGTCTCATCAGATCTGTGTCATCACTCCAGCTGTGTTAAGTGCATTTCCAGCCTCTGCTCCCACACTGGCCCCGGTGGCTCAGACTAAACTCAACAGCACTGCAATCTCTAATCTAAAAGCTCTCTCTCTGACTCTGCCTCTACCTCTCTCTCTCTCCACTGCTCCCTCTTTCCTTCTCTCTACTGCTCTCTCTCTTTCTCTCTCTCCACTGCTCTCTCTGACTCTACCTTTACCTCTCTCTCTCTCTCTCTCTCTCTCTACTGCTCTCTCTCTTTCTTTGCTGTTCTCTCTGACTCTACCTCTACTTCTACCTCTCTCTCTCTACTGTTCTCTCTCTACTGCTCTCTCTTTCTCTCTACATCTCTGTCTCTCTCCACTGTTCTCTCTGACTCTACCTCTACCTCTCCTTCTCTCTTTCTCTACTGTTCTCTCTCTACCTCTCTCTACCTCTCTTTCTCTAATTTTACCCCCTCTCTCCCTACTTGCTTTCTTTTTCAAAGAAACTCTCTCTCTCTCTCTCTCTCTCTCTCTCTCTCTCTCTCTCTTATTCTGCTCCTCTCCTCCACTATCTTTCTCTCTCTTGAACTACCTTCCTTCTCTCCCTCCCTCTCTCTCTCTCTCTCTTTCTCTCTCCCTCTCTTTTTCTCTGTCTCTCTTCCTCATCCTTCATAGAGTTTCTATAGACCATTCTTTCTTTCTTTCTTTCTTTCTTTCTTTCTTTCTTTCTTTCTTTCTTTCTCCCATGCATCTTTTTCACGCTTTTAGTTACTCTCCCTCCATCCCCCCACTCCCTCACTCCTTCTCTCTTTCTCTCTGTATCTCTCTCTCTCTCTGTCCCCCCTTGTTGTTCTCGCTCTCTCTCCCTCTCTTTCTCTCTCTTTCTTGCAGACCTTTCTTCGTCATCCTTTTTGAAGTTTCTTTCTTTCTTTCTTTCTTTCTTTCTTTCTTTCTTTCTTTCTTTCTTTCTCATATGCATTTTTTCACACTTTTGGTTGCTCTCCCTTTCGTCTCCCCCCCTCCCCCCTGCCTCTCTCACTCTCTCACTCTCTGTCTCTCTGTCTCTCCCTCTCTCTCTGTCTCTCCCTATCTCTCTCTCTCTCTGCTCCGTGCCTTGTCGGAGAGGTGGTTAGGTTGAACTCGTGTTGCTGATCGATGAAGCAAAGAATCCATTTGCTTTCTTTTCTGTTTTCTTTTCAAAGAACATTGACTCACTATCCTCTTCACCCACACCGGGGCTTTTTTTCAAGTGCGGAAATCCAGATGAGTTTTTGTGTTCTTTGTTGTGTGTGGAATTGATACGATTTTAATTAACAACTCCTGCTTCACTCTGTATGTTTTCTCTTTCTGAGCATAAGCCAGTGAAAATATACCACGTTAACGACTACGGACATGGTTATGCTTGTATTGTTTGCATGTCAATGTGTGTTGCACATTTTACCAAACGAAGGTTTGTTTTTTAGGATTGTTTTTTATCAGCGGGCCAAAAACACATGAATCAACCTCATTTCCAAAGCTGATGGACAAACGTTCAAAGAAAAAAGCTCGTACTGAAATAGTTGTGCTTTTTCATGCAGCCTTTCAAGCAGACTTGACTTGTTTGCCTCAGACTCCATTTGCTGGGCCTGTGTTTTGCTTTGTGCCTGTTCCAGAAAGGCAGAGGGGTATTGATGTTGCAGATCAGCTCCAGATTGCTCCGCGGCCGGGCTGCTTTCATAACTTTCGGCCGCTGTGATATTATTTCCGATAACCCCCCCTCCAGACTCGATGTTTTACTTATGGAGTACTTCTTCTTCTGGCAGGAAAACGGCCGCTGTGTTAGGGAAGGTTTTTCCATTTATTTCTGGGCCCCACTGAGAATTAGATGGGTGGCAGATTATGAAGAGCGAGCCTTTTAATAACATTTAGATCAGGATATTGATCCTCCACTGTTATGGAAGGACCTTTTTCAGGGCAGAATGCAGTTGGCTGAGAGCCAGAGTGACAGATCTTTACTTTCACTCCATCCTCAGCCTCTTAGTCTCTTTCAGAGTTACTTTGTGTCCCTGAAGCACCATTATATGACTCTCTATTACACTTACTGCAAAGATGTTGCACTTACACACTGTGAAAAACTAAATATTTCATGAAATTATCCAAGGTTAGGTCTGAAATCATGTGCTATGTACTGTATAGTGCACTGTTTTGGGGGTCTGTTTTGGTGATTGAAAACAATCCAGTGCACAATGCCGAATATAGTATATCGCTGCTGTCGGAAACAAAACCTCGTATCTCCAAAATGAGAACTTTACAGGAAAAGGAAAAAACTTACTTTACTTTGAATGGAAGGCAATGGAACCAGACACATTTCCAAGTAATTTTGGACCGTTTCTTTTGGCCCATTCATCATGAAATTTACAAACAAGGTAAAGGGCGAAAGATATTTTTAGATTATGTCAAAAACTGAAAAATGACAAAAATGGAGAAACAGGTTTTGTTCCAACAGCAGCGATATGTAATAGTGTACGGGCAATGGCTTTGACTGAAATGGATCCCTATTTGAGTTTTAGGGCACTGTTACATATGTTGGCTGGTATTCTCTTAGCGTCTGAATCATAAAATGGAATTCCAGCTTGATTTTGACAGCACTATTGTTTTTACAGCAGGGGCTTCTCTACTTTTCTTTGTTTTACCCCTCATTGCTCACTCAACTTTTTCACAGACAGATCCAATAATGCGTTTATTTAATCTGAAAAATATTTTCTTTGAATACATCTAAATATTCCATATCAGCAATATTCAAGTCAAATTCCTTTCTGCCAGCAGAATAGCCACTAAGAGGGCCTGCAGAAAGAAGCTACTGTGAAAGTTGTTGATTTTGAACTTTTCCCTTTATCCTGTATCAATTTTGGTGACACTTTATTTGGATAGTGCACTTTGGATGTTTTGTAGATACTTAATGTACTTTTAAATTTCATTCAACTAAATACTTAATTTACTGTAATTTTCTTTAATCCAAAACCTAAACCCAGTCCTCACCCTGCCCTAATCCTGGTCCAAATCTTAACCCTAATCCCACCACGGTGTAGAACCAAGTGAATTTCAACAGATAGTTTAACAATTTAAAAGTGTATGATCTGTAGTGTACTATCCAAATAAAGTGAGACCCATTTTTTGTTGCAGTCTACACAGTGTCACATCCTACAAACTTGACCACATTCATATACCATCAGCAATCATGCCAGCTAGCAATCATGTTCTGATATGTGTAAAATGTAAAAAATGCAGTAACACGTTTTAAGATCTGCTTCATAATGATCACTAAACTATTACCAAGCAATTAACAATACAAAATATAAACATTATTGCTTACTAATAGTTAATTAACTGTTAATAAGCAGACATTAAACTAGTGTTACCAACAAATGCATGAATGCATTTTAAAAATTCATAAAAATTAGTAAAAGGCCCCCAAAAAACAGAAAACTGTATTTGAGTCGTGCTGAAAAAATTCAGTAATCGAGCCAAAGTGACAAACCTCTCATTTCACTCTGTCCTCAGTCTATTATTCTCTTCCAGACAAACTTCTTGTTCTCATGTAAATGTTAGATTTTTCCTGAACAGTTGAAATAGTGGTCAGTTTTTTTTTTTCCTGGCCCTCATGTGCATTTCAACAGCTATCGCACAATCTAGCGATCAGTTTGGCCGTCCCATCGAAGTTATTTGTTTTTTAATTGGCGCTGTTGTTTTAGAGCCGTGTCCCAGTAGCCCTGTTCCGCCTCACTAGGATTTACTGTACGTTCCCATGTTTCGGGCGGCAAAGAAAAACACAAGCTCTTGGCAGCGAGCAGGCTTCTCCACGGCCCGTGTTCATGACTTACAGTCTGGGAAGGTGTCCGCGAGGCAGTACATCTCAAAACGGCTCCTGAACCTCAAATCAAGACCAACTGGTAGCACTTCAGGCTGTGGATGATAATGTGTGTGAACTAGCAGTGATCTTTCTCGCTATTGGCTGGAGGAGGGGGTTTATTTTAAGGTGTACCCATTGGATCCCATTATGTATAATAAAACGGTATCGTGGATGGGATCGGGATTTAAGACTTGGACCCCCGTTCCATTAATCACATTAAGAGTTTGTGAATATTTCAAACATGCAGGATACTGTTAGGATATTTGATCATTGCTTGTGTAGAAAGAGAGGCTCTTGTCTTCCCCAGTCGAGAAACATGACTAAGTTCTTGGGAGTTTCCAACAGATGTGATCCATTGCAGTGCTTTGACATGGCGACGTTAGCAGTCGCTCTCTGCGGAATGAGTTATTGAAAGCGTTTCGTTTTAGAACGTAACACACCACGGCCAACATAAACCATTTTTAGAGCACCGTGGTCCAACGGCTGAACTAATAGCGCAGTAATCATAGGGCTGTGAGTTCAAATCCCAGGTGGGACCCGCTGCCGCTTTGACCTCCGTCTCTTTTCCGCGGCTTGCCTGAGAAAACACCCTTGTGTAAAAGCATAAGTCTTTGGAATATGAAATGTGTCTGTTGCCTTCGATAAACATGTCATGCCAATGATTGAATGCAAATGTGGGATTCCAGGAAATTAAAGGCAGAGCTGTGTGGTCCGCTCACCGTGCTCTGAATGTTTTGACAGCTCAATCTGGTCTTCCTGGTTGTGACCATGTACAAGATGGTGAAACACTCCACCTCGGTGAAGCCCGACTCCAGCCGCTTGGAAAGCATCAGGTGAGTTTGCTTCTTTTACGTTTGTACTGTTCTTTCTTTTGTCCACCAAATTAGTCACCCTTCCTATTTGTTCCAAGATACATTTAGGCCTCGTTTTTTTATTCCACCCCATTTTCCATTTCATTCCACCGCACTTTGATTGCCATCTTAATTGCTTTTGCTTGCGACGTTCCGTATGGTCACGCTTTATGCCAAATGTCCACAATTGTAATAATTACAACGTGACAATTACTTTATATTAACTCAAATTAGTTTTATGGAAATGGATGTGTAATTTATGTCAAAAGTACGCAAGGCAGCGTTCCGGGTCAAAGGCTGAGGACGGGGTAAAGGTTGCATTCAAGCCAAATGTTAGCAGAGCTGCTAATTTGACTTTACGGCTATAATTAGGAAAACCATTAACCTCTGCACAGAGCGGTTAAGTTGTTCACTCGTTTTAGCATCACATGAGTGGTGTCACAGCCTCTTGTAAACACTGTCCTTGAAAAGCACGAACATATTTTAGAACTGTCATTGCGTTACGGCTCACGTTAAAACAGAGACGTTTTATAGGACACGCAGTCATAACTGCGCGCCGAGTAACAGGAGACGGACTCAAAAGAAAACGCTTCCCATGTCATGTAGCTGTAGCAGGCCACCATCCGTCCTGTCTAGCAAATGTGTCATTCGATCCATGTGAAGAGTTCCGGGAATCTCTGGAGAGAGAGGGAGAAAAAGTGCAGCATGCACACTCTCTCAAAACCCAGCCGGAGTGGAGTGAAATTCTGTCATCTAGAAATGCTCTCTGGGCATTCTTATCAAATTTCTCAGCCTGGGTTCCGAGTGGATTTGTGTCTGTGTTATTTATGGATCTTCTCAGGGCATTTAGCTATTGTGCTAATAAAACACGGACTGAAGCATGATTGCAGCAGTAGCGATTGTTTTTTGTGGTGCCAGTTTATGGCAAAACAGCTCCGTTCTTGCATTCATTCTGTCTTCTATCCAGGCAAATTATTTTCTCCTTATGTTTATTCCAGAGTCTTTGTTTTTGTAACATGTTCTTACATAGTAATAAATGTAGTAATTGTGGTAAATGTAATAAAGCATTGATATTTATGTTCTGCATTTTTACTCTGCCTGTCAACATTTTTTTGTCCTGCCTTCTTAGCTGGCAACTTGGTCTCTCATTGATTCCAGAGTTCTTACGTAGTAATAAATGTAGTAATTGTGGTAAATGTGATAAACTATTGCATTTTACTCTGCCTATCAATATTTAAGGACATCTTGCCTTTTTAGCAGGCAACATCTTCTCATTTATTTCATATTTGTTCCAGAGCTGTTTATTTCATGACATATAACATATATTACATATTACTATTGTCATAGTAATACTATTGTCGTAGTAAGTGTAGTAAATCATTGAGCTTTGCATTCTGCAATTTTACTCTTCTTCTCAAAGGTTTAGTAATATCTTTTTTTCTGCTATTATCTACTGCAGGGTTATTGTTTTTTTATAAGATGTTCTTACATAGTAATAAATGTAGTAATTGTGCTAAATGTAATAAATCATTGAAATTTACATTATGCCTTTTTTACTCTATCAACATTTTAAGGGTGTCTTGACATCTTAGCAGGCAGCTTCTTCTCATATTTATTCCATATTTATATTTTTAACATGTTATTACATAGTAATAAATGTAGTAAGTGTAGTAAATCATTGAACTTTGCATTCTGCAATTTTACTCTTCTCAAAAGTTTAAGATTATCTTGCTGTTTTATTTCTCCTTTTTTTATTGCAGATTGTTTATTTTTATACATTTTATACATTATTTCTTACATAGTAATAACTGTAGTAATTGTAGGAAACGTTGAAAATCGTTTGCATTATGCAGTTTTACTCCACCTGTCCAAAGTTGTGGACACACTGCCTCTTTAGAAATGTAAAATTTCTTGCTTTCACTTTTTAATTAAGTAAGAACAAATACCGGCAAAGAAATTGTTAACATAAAATGGCTAATTTGCTAATCCTTTGGTAAACTTAGCAGATTCATGTTAATCTAAGTGTCTTCCTTGGTGTTAAACTTTTGTTAAAAGCACACACTGAAACCCCATTTTAACCAAAGGTGATGAAGATGTTATTCCAATTACAAACAGCATCATCACAAATATTCACGTGTGATATTGTTTTCCTCTAAATAAACCTGCGTATGCTTTAATGTGTTGTTGCAAACGCTGACAGACAGTGTCCATGTGTTGTGCATGTAACGTGTGTATAAGACAGTAAGGCTGATTTGACTCTTTCTCAGGTCCTGGGTGCTGGGTGCATTCGCCCTGCTGTGTCTTCTCGGTCTGACGTGGTCATTTGGGTTGTTCTTCCTGAACGAGTCATCTATGATGGCTTACCTCTTCGCCATCTTCAACACCCTGCAAGGGCTGTTCATCTTTATCTTCCACTGCCTGCTGCAGAAGAAGGTAAGGACATATTCAGCACTCCTTCACAGAGCTTGAAATGTCTGTGCAAACCAAATAGGACCACAGTGTCTACATCTGGTGCCGGACCGGTTCACTTTTTCTTCCTCCGATATCACCCAGGCTCGAATCAGGTTTTCAGATTTTACATTACCATCTCCCAGTTTTAAGCAGTCCTGGTATGCATTTACTGGAGGTGTAAATATCTGACTTCATTTAAACTATAAGACAGTTATGAATTATCAATAACGGCCTAAAAATTTTACACAAGGCTTTTTTTATTATTATTTATACTTGTGAAAATAGCCTGAAAATATTATTCTGGCCAAGAAAATAATTCATAATTTATACAGAATGTTACTATAATCATTTAGCTCACTTAGTTTAATATAAATTTCCAAAATTGATGCCTCTGATTCACCACCTTCATCTAGGCACTGATTGATGAATAAAATTTGTTAAAGAGGAATTTAAATTTATTTATCAACAATTTGATGATGACTGTCATTGTCACTACGTTGTATTTTAACTATCATTAGGAATGTCCAGTTAAATTCAGGTGGTGGTTGAGTGGACAGAATTTTGGAGGCTGCTGTCAGGTTCAGACAAAAAAGTCAGGCCCTAATTAAAACTCTATTCCTTTGTGAAACTTATGCCATTCAGTTTGCTCCCATTTCATGTAGACATTTAGGACGGGGGGTCTGCTAATGCAGCTAAATGATCACCGCAGTCCGGGGATGCTGTTTTCTGGCTTTATTGTTTATTTGTCTAATTAAATTAAGTTGCAATCAAGCTTATGGCTGGTGATTAGCTGTCGTGATTGGGGAAATAACATTAGCCTCTGGGGACTATTAGCGAGTCGCTTACATATAATGATCAAGCGCTAACGTCAGTGATGCGTGGGGTGTGCTTTCACATTTAAAGACATTTCTTGCGCTATCTGTGAAGCTGAACTTTGATATGTACTTCTAGATTATTTACCAGACAGTATAAATAAAAGAAACTTGACGTTACAATGACTGCCGTGTTGCCGGCGGTGATGCGTAAATTAGCTGAGATCCGCCTGGGGGGGAAACTTTACGTCACCATTACTCAGTGTTATCCTTTCCTCTGTTTAATGTTTCAATTCATCAATGGTGTCAAAACAAGTGTTTGCCTGTCTGCTCCATTAGCTGTGTCCTCTCGAGGGTGAAATGAGTGTTTTTTGATGCTGGGCTGATATTGCACGGCTTCCTAAAAGACGCACCCTCTGGTAAGTGTTCAAGAAATGTCTGTGATCGCCAACAGCCTTCGCCGCCCTCGCTTTCTGTCTGTTGTCACAAAGCAAAAGAAACATCAGAACAGAACAATAATCATATACTCTAGTCTTTCGGTATCACTGGCCATTATCATGAGCTCTTGTCATAACCACAATGCTGCAGCTTGTCCCACACAAATGTAAACTCCTTGTTTATAATATCCTGCAATGTCCTCATAACGAATAGCGCACTTCCCCTCGAATGAACACAATGCAATCATGTGAGATGAGTTGTTCTCCTAAAAGGCCATTGTGTTCCAAAGAACTGACGTGCAGTTTGTCTCTGCAGGTGCGGAAAGAGTACAGCAAGTGTTTCCGTCAGTCTCAGTGCTGCGGGGGTCTACCATCCGAGGGGTCTCACAGCACAGGCAAAACTTCCACATCCCGCTCCACCGCCCGATACTCATCTGCTACTCAGGTGACACACCTAACATTGTCATAATTTATCAGTTATTACTGTCATTTTGATACACATTCAAGTTGCATTACATTGTTATTCAAATGTAATTACAAAATTATACATAGTGAATACAATTTGCATTCAGTTTACATACTGTATTATATTTGATTTTACACTTTCTGGTTATTGTGATGGCAAAAAATGAAAACCCATGGCAAAAACAAGACAATGCACAACAATATATTTGCATCGAATTGAAGTCATAATAAAATATCTCCTCTTCTACTTACAAATACAAATGTGGTATAGATTGAGAGTATAGAACCTGTACATTCTGCAGAATATCTCGTCTTGTTTAACTGAGCCATGAGTGGGAGATGAGTAATATAAAAATGACAGCATGCTTTTGTTATTGCTGGCTATAGCAATGGCTTAAAAAGAATTACAGCATGAATACATACATTTGTAGTCTTTTTCTTTCAGGCATGTCGGTTTTGACAAATATCAGCATAAAGGGTTGCCTGGCATATTATCACTCACAGAGGTGAACAAACACGCACAATCAAAAAGAGCTTATTGTATGGAGCTGATGCATAGAATCCTCAAATACTCTCACTTAAGAAAAAGATAAGCAACACATGAAGTACTACGTGAATAATTCTTAGCTAATGTTATGTAAACAAGTTACAACTGCATTCATTAATGTTGTTTTCACCTTAACTGTTGGCTAACAAACATTAACTAATGTATTTGTTAACATTAAATGCACATGAAATTCTAATAATAATGGTTAGCTAATATTAAGCACATATAACAATCACATTAATTGCATTAATGCATATTATTTTCATGTCTTTGTTGACATAATGCACAGATAAATTAACATTCAGTAAGCAGCTTAATTGGCTGTAATAGCACTAAAGCCATAGTGGGTAGTAACTACTCAGTTAAATGTACTCAAGTTACTTATTGTTACTGCAGTGAAATAATGACTGCAGTAAAAGCACCTTATAGAAGTACAAACATATCAAGTAACTTACAGAACTGCAGCGGAGCTTCTTAGAACATCCACCATCAGTACAGGAACGGACGTCTGTACACTCTCAGAAAAAAAGGTATGAAACTCTCACTGGGCCAGTACCCCTCTTGTCACTGGGGATGTCTTAGGACCTTTAGTCAGGGAGCATAAATGTACCATAATCCACTGAAATTATAATTATATATTTTTACTCCACACACCCCGTCTCATCTCCAGGCTTTTTATTTTATTGTTCTGTTTTAAAACATTAGGTTATAAAAAGGTACAAATATGTACTTTTCACCTGGAAAAACTTATTTAAGGTTTACAATTGGACCTTAAAACCACTTTTGTACCTTTGAGGAAACACTTTGTTTGTACCTTGATGAATGAAAAATCTTTATTTTTGGATCTTTTGGTCTAAAATAAAATGCTAAAGCTGTAAAGTGAGAGGAGTAATCAACAGTACACACAGAACAGGAGCTGAACCAATAAAAGAGAATGAAGCCCAAAAAAGTGAATTTTGAAATTTTACTTGAGTACATGTAAGTAGTTATAACCCGCAACTGTTTAAGTGTTATTACAGCCAATTAAGCTATTGTTTAACGCTGCTCATTGAGTCTTAACTCATCTATGCAGTATACATGGCCCAGCATGAGCAAAGAGATGAAAAAACATGAATGAATGCAATTGTTATTTGTTTACTTAATATTAGCTGACCAATATTAACATAGTATATCATGGTTTTAATGTTAACAAATACATGAATATTAGATACTCAACATAATGTGAAAACAACACCAATTTATCTTCTTGTTACCTGTTTACTTCATATTAGCTAACTATTATTATTGCAATATTTCATGTGTTGATCATGTTAACAAATGCATTAGTGCTAGTTAGTCAAGACCTATTTTAAAGTGATACCCAAAATAATATTCAGAGTGAAGTACACTAAGATTATATCAATATAGATTTATATACTGGCTATTGTGAGATGTGTTCAAGCAAACATTATGTGACAAGAAAATTCTTCGTTTCTGATATATGAGAGAGATTTCGGGCCCACTCTTGGACTAATCCATGTAATGCCCATGGTGAATCACACTTTTTGTTCTAGGGTTAGGCTTAATCTGGGTCTGGGAAAACTTTCAAGCCAAAGTGTCTTCTGCAAATGTGTGCAGAAGACACTGTTTATTTATGCTCCTCATTATTTGCACTCACAATTTCAGCTCATGCCAGATTTCTTCTCACGGATGCAATTCAGTGAACCCAAATTGTGGATGAAATTTAATTTCTCATCCAGATTAGATCTGATTTTGTCTGCACAACTGGAATGTAGTTGTGCAAACAGTAAAATCTGCTATTTAAATGAGATGGGCTGCAGCTGCTATCATGTACATAATTGTGGTTAGTGGGTTGCCAGCAACAGTAAATCAATTGCAAAAGTGGAATTTATTTTTTATCTGCAGACGCTAAATGAACTGCTCTGAATGGCACTCTTAGGGAATCAGGGCCTTTTTGTCATGGTTGGAATATCAGTGTCATCGGTGTGAATCCACTTCACAGCTGTAGTTCTCTTACTGCAGTTAATTAGCAGCCACATCATTTTAAAACCCCACGTGAAAAAAAAGTTTCCTGTCAAACCTCGGATTCTGCCGAATATAGCCCAGCATGTTTCGCATTACACTGCATTATTAATATCTTCTCATCCTCCGTAATGACACTATAAAGCGAATATTGTTATTGCTTTTTGCCAAAGTAGCGCTTCTAGCAATTACTTGTTACCACAGATGTTAATAAGGCAGCACCATGCTCCGAATATCATCCATAAATATGAATATGAATATGAATTTTTGTAATTCTTTGTGTGTAGTTGGGTTGCGTGTTGAGCTGGAGACGCAGTGATAATAGTAATGATAGATCTTACCTTCCACTGCACGTCACATTATTAGCATGTGCTTTTAACATGCTGTGTGCACCGCTAGCTAATGGGGTGTGTGCGCTGATGTGTGTGTGTGTGTGTGTGTGTGTGCGTGTGTGTGTGGGTGTGTGTGTGTGTTGCCGCAGAGCCGCATCAGGAGGATGTGGAACGACACGGTGAGGAAACAGTCCGAGTCGTCCTTCATCTCCGGAGACATCAACAGCACATCCACGTTAAACCAAGGTGAGGCCGGCGTACTACTGCATGCAGCGAGACAAAGCAAGTGAAAGAAATGAATGTAATGATGAGGTTCTTATGCTCTTCAATGTGGGGATAACATTTTACCTCTTCAATCCCCATCGTCCCATTGTCAAATGAATACTTGGCAATTGTTATATGAATAAAAAACAATGAATAAATAAATACTTATGGCACTTAACCCTTAAAAGCATTCATCAAATCGCTAGCAACCCATGAACTCATTCTCCCCACTGCTTCAGTTTTTAAGATAAAAAAAAAGAAAAATGAAAAGAAAAAAAAACATGTATCTCCATTTTTTGAGGTTTTTACTTTTCTACATCAGATTTCTACGGCAGTTTTTCTTTGGACAGTGACTATCTATCTATCTATCTATCTATCTATCTGTCTATATATATATACATATATGTATATATATATATATATATATATATATATATATGTATATTGATGTGTGTATATGTGTGTGTTAGAGACCACTCTTTGTTTCATAACAGCCCTTAAGTACAAGATATTATTTTTGTCAGTGTTGGAAAAAAACAATCTTTCAATATTTCATATTTGAGAGAAAATGAAGCTCTACAATTCAATAATCACTTCAATACTATGGGTTTGAGAGGATGTGTAGCTAATTAGAAGTTCTTACTGAGAAAAGGAAATGGACAAAAACACAAAACTAGAACATGAAACTGGACATCTGGGATGCAGAATAAGATTTTATGGACTGATGAGTCTAAATTTATACTTAGGTTTGCTAGAGTTGAGCGTGAGCAGAAAGTACAACCATCTTTTAAGACTGAACTTTGGAGATATAAAAAATATACCCACAGATTTCTTTATAAACCTGAAGTTCAAGTCTCCTGAAAAGAGTGGAAGCTGTAATAAAGGTAAAAAGTATACTCAATAAATACTGAAAAATTATATGTAGTTGTTAAGACTTCTGTGTAATTTTCTGTTAATACATTTTCTGTTTTTTTGTCTGACACTGACAAATAAATAACTTGTACTTTATGGCTGATTTGACTTGAAATTACATAAATGAAGGGCGGTGTGTGACTTTTGCACAGTACTGTACATTATTGCCAAAAATGCACTTACGCTGTCATGGAAGATCAATATGTGTTAGATGTTTTTACTTTCATATAAAAAACGTCATAACATTGCTTTTATTAGTTTATTTATTTTTAATGTATTATTGTTATTATTATTATTATTATCATTATTATTATTATTATTATTAGTAGTAGTAGTAGTAGTATTATTATTGTTATTTTAACAAACTGTTAGTCACAGTTAACTTGTGGCCATTTCCACCTGCTAGCTAGGTCTCCAGTATTGCATCATGCTACCAAGCTTGGAGGCTGAAGATTAGGACGTGCCTCCTTCGATCATATGAAGTGCAATGGCATCCTTTCAAATTGCCACTAATGCAGCATCATTGGACAGCTAAACATGCTTGGAGGAGAACAATAACTGGCAATTCTGTTAGATCAGCTAACATATGCCTGCATTGGTTGGCATCATGCTGAGTGATGGTGCGGAGAAGTAGGGCCATCCTACTTGCCCCAGTGAGTGAGGCCTATTAGTTATATGAAATTTACCAGCTGCTCTTACATTACATAAACAATTTTAATGAATGGAACAATTAAAAATGTAAAATTACTGTAAATTTACCATTTCAGATACAAAGTTTGGGACAGGTCAATAATACCCTGCTGTCTCTATGTACGATTAGCATACATGCAGGCATTTAAGGGTTAAATGCATAAATAAATATTTATTGTGTTGGTCAGTGATTGTTCCAGTGATGTAACCTAGAGACATTCACATGACAGTTACATGTGTTAATCTCGTTCTGTTCTGCTCAGTCCTGCTCCGAAACAAAAAGCACTCTGTGTACGATTTTACAGAATGAGCTCCTGAAAATGTTAGATTTTTTTTTATCTCACCTTGTAACCTAACAACGTCGAAACATGCCAGAAAGCGCAAAAAGCTCAAAACCATCAACAAACGCTGGAGACAAAACTCTTCATCTGATCAGTCTGGCATTCGCAGCGCTGCTTTCAGTTCCCCCACTGAAAAAGCTGTACTACCACCTGTCAGATTTTAAAAATGGACTGATCAATTATTTAGACTGAGCAAGAGTGTTGCTGATGAGAAGATGATGTTCAACTCTGCGCGACCCCCCGACTCGCAGCCCGCTGCTAGCAGAGCCTCTGAGTCACACACTGGCCCTTAAAACGGCCCACCAGGTATCGCTCACGCTCGGCTGATGGCAAAAGTTTGTCAGTCCTTTTCAAAAGTTCGGGCAGATCTGACGGCTGCTCCCTCGACAGAGGCTGAGAGTGTTTGCGTAATCGGTCCCTCAATCACTCGAAGGCGTTCGGAAGCACACAAAAGGCTCCTGTGTGTCGATGTCACAAGAAGAATGAGGTTGTGGAGCGTGAGAAACAGGGTTGTAAACACAGTGTGGAAGGATATTCTATCATGTTTTATGCAAATTGAACTTTGACGGATGAATGTCAAGCATTTTGCCCGACGTCACTGAATGCTCCACTCTGATTGGCTAGTGAGCAGCCAATATTTCTTGATTATTTCATGACCTCTGAATAATGACCTCTGAAGTACATCTTATCTTATCAAATTACTGTGAATCTAGTTATGTGAAAATGTGGCCCACTGAGATTTTACGATTGTTTGCTGTTTGCAAATTATGCTAATTAAGAGGTAGCCTTCGTTAGCTGTCTGTCAAGCTTAGTAGCGCAGTAATACCATATTCATAAAAAAGAGATTAATAATGTTGAAGTCGCCCTGACAATGCCAGTGCATGCAAAACAAACAAATCTTTTGTCCATTAATGTAAATGACCATTTAAAGGGCCAATATCATGAATAACCATATTTTCCTTGGTTTTTTAAATAAGGATACACTCTTAGCAAAATAAAGGAGAAAAGTTGTTTGACTCTAGAATCATTTAAAAACAACAATATAGAACTGTTTCCATCATAGAGAAGAAGCAGCAAAGATCCATTTAAAGAGTCCTTGAAGAACCAACTTTTTAAGAACGTATTTTGTTGCTGTAAAAAATTAATAATAATAATTTTAGCGGTTTTTAGTTTTGTACTGAATTTGAGTTCAGCAGCTGCTCATTACATTGTGTGAAAATTTCATCATGTATAAACCAATAGAAATGCTCCTAAATTGCTTGTAATAAAATTATTTAATGTTAATTTACATTTAAAGTAAAGAACATTTTTGCCGTCTCCTGTAAAGTTATTTTTGAGATACTTGTTTTTCTTTTGAAAGCAATGATATATGGATGTAATTTGTAAACATTCTTAAAATTTCAAAACATACCACTTACTATGCAAACTTAGCAGCAAAAACAGTTTTGAATTTTGTGATGTCATGAAAAATCTGTTCAGCCTAAGCAATTCAAACCCAACCATTTATATAAACGTTATGAAGAATGCTTTTTGGATATGACACGGAGCAGCCAATTACAGCAGAGGTCAATTACATAATTTAGTCCTATAGGCACAGTGACAAAAACAGCCTGTTTAATTCTAAGGGATAAAGAGAGGTTGGAAAATGGTCATGTAAAAATGATTTATGACTGGTTTTGGTACATAAGCCTAAACAAAACAAAAATGTAGGATATGGACCCTTAAATCACAATTATGATAGATTGCGTCCTCGCCTCCGAGCCAAGAATCGCTGCAATTGGCAGAGTTTTGGAGTTCAGCTTTTTAATAATACTTAAACACGTTGCAAATGTAGCGGTAATGTGCGTATTTATCACAGTCTCTGAGACAGCTGTGCTACTATTGGCTCCGTTTCTGATCGGGCCTTGAAGCCATTCTGCTTAAACGTTGCCATTCCTTTATAGAGGACATGTTTTCTCAATAGCAGGTGTTTATCACTGTAAGCGTGTGAAGAAGAGGAACATGGTCATCATCATCTGTGGTCAATTTAGTTTACTTACATCAACAGGATCCCATCATAAACCCTTATTCCCTCTGTGTTGACCTTGACACACTTGTAGTTCTAAAAAGAACGCACAAATATATCGTGTGAAATGCTGAAAACAACACAGTGGGTCAGATGTATGAGAACAAGCCCAGCGCAGAAATGTGCCTTGATGGGTACGCAGGGTTCGCACACAATGCAGCTGAATTTAATATTCAATTTGCTAAAACTACAGCTTTTCAATGCAAACTGCACAAAGCCCCGCCCACTTACTACATTTTAAGGTTTTGTAGCTGCGTATTTTGTGGTGCGGCTTCTCACATATTTACATCTATTCCTCAGAGTTTAAACAGTGTTATTCTGAAGGTAAACATTGGCTCAGCATGTGTTTCAGGCTTGCGCCTGCATCCAAGCACTGTCTCTGCAGCTGCTGTTAAATGAAGACAGTTAAATAAAGAAAAACACGTCTTTTGACACCCTAATGCAAATAAACGTGATTTTAAAAGGCAGATGAAACTTGACGGAAAACCAGTCAGTTGCTCAAATGTTTGCGCGGCCCTCATGTAAATGCATGAAAAAATAAAGGGCATTTACGTTTTTCCTCACTGTAAAAAAAGCAGCAGGAGCAACAGACAAAACCTATTAATGATGGCAAAAATCAGTCATTCAACTTCTTAGAAATACTGTCTTTTACTATAATTCAACAGTTTCATTAATTCAACTAGTCATTCTGATATACAGTTTTCACCTTATTAGCAACAACTATTAAAATAAACACAAATATCTGTGAAATTAGGGTGATCATTTGTTTTTATGATTTTGCATTCTCTCCAAATTAACAGCAGTGCTAAAATATGGCATATGTATGGTTTATTTACAAGCATTTAAACTACAAAAACAGGTACTGACCATAAAATTTTACAGTACTTTGACAGTGATTTTTTTTCTTTCTTTTTTTTTGTCTTTTTACACTGCATGCACACGACCTGTAAATTGCATGTTTAGGCTCATGCACCAGTTTCATACCAAACATACAGATAGACTGTGCACAATTTGTGCCTGACACTGGCCAGGAAATTGGGTACATTGAAACCAAAGTGTAGCATATTCTATATAAAGGATAAAGAAAGAATGTAAGAAATTTGGCTAACAGTCTTTTTTGTAGGGTGGTGTTCATAAGGCTACATAAACATTTATCAACACTTAATTCAATAGGCATCGTTTGTCATACTGTTTGCATTTGCTAACTTTGATGTCAACTTGACATAAAGTCTATGATTTCTTTTTAACTTTAAATTGAATCATGATTCTTTCTGGTGTGAAATGACACAGCTTGCCAGGCTGGTTGAACCATAGTGAGCATTTTGTGATCCTTAGCATTTAAGAATTATGTCATGTCATCAGCATTACATCACTGTGATGCACAAAGTCACTTAACATTTGACCCCAAAAATGCTGTGACACAACCCAATGTTGATGTCACCTGACATAGGTTTCATGTCATATTGACATCAAAGCTGACAAAAGCAGTCTTTATGACGGACGACCCCTGTTGGGATTAGAAATGCTAATGTGGGTTTATGTCTGTTGTCATGATGAGCTTATGTGTCATGTAGCCCGAACACTGTTCACACTGAAATTTGCATTGATTGTCTTCAGTATTCTGTGGTTGAACATTCATGTGTTCGTGTTTATTCTAGTCATCATTTTATTCTTGGTAGATCAAATATAATCCTGCTTTATAATTAGATGTTGGCAGGAAAACACTTTTGGAATTGCTGTTTAATCCTGACTGTGTAGGCGGACGGGCACTTTGTACTGCTATCTAAGAATTCCTTCCCTTTTTTAATTCCTTCTCTTTTTTCCCACCTTTCTCTTTTCGTCCTCCTCCCTCCCTCTCCTCCTCCTCCTCCTTTTTCTTTCTTCCTGCAGGAATGACTGGCAACTATCTGTTAACTAACCCCCTCCTCCGAGCACACGACACTAATAACCCCTATAATAACCTCCTGGCTGAAACCATCGTGTGTAACACACCCTCCCCGCCCGTCTTCCACTCACCAGGTGCCCCACGCTCTCCTCTTTCTGCATGGAAACGATGCTGTGGTGCCATGTGTGTGCGTGTTTAGGGGGTCTGGGTGGGGTTTTGTGTGGCTTCCTGCTTATATGGGGTTGGAAAAAACTCTTGGCTTTTTCAACTGAACTGTACTGGGTTTATTTTGTTTTTGCTTTTTTTTCCTCGTGGATCATGAACAGCATTGCAGGTTTTGTTGCAGTAGTTTTTTGCCTCCCTCTTCATCATCTTGTGTTTGCTTCCTTTGAAGTTTATCTTTGGAGACTGTGTCGAATTTTTATTTCAGGAAAATGCTGCATGAGCCCCATTCCACAGTCCCATCTCTCTACATTCTTTTATTTATCCTCTAGTTCTTGGAAAAAAAAAAAAGTTATAATGCCTAAGGCTTTAAATGAGTATTTACAAGTAATTAGTCAGTAACTACTATGCAATACGCAAAACATGCAACAATGCATATATACATATATATTTATATATATATATATATATATATATATATATATATATATATATATATATATATATTCTTTGCCAGAGACATGCTTTCAGTTTTTTAGAGAAATCTGCATGGATATTTTATAATATCAAACACTTTCAGTAGTATTGATTATATTTTATATAACATTAGAAAACATATGAATGCCATTAACACAGTAAGTAGGAATTTTAAGTATTTCAGTGTTTTCTTTTAACAGTTTCCAAACCTCTCTTCCCAATTTTAGCCCATTTTTATTTGCAGTTATGATTCGACATCTAGATTCAACACCTAGTTTGACTTGAATATACATATATATATATATATATATATATATATATATATATATATATATATATATATTGTACACAATGAAACAAAACAGCATTCCTCCAGGGCCATGGTGCAACACAGGAACACAAGTGCAAGACAATACAGTGCAATAAATACGAAAGACTTACAAATAAATACAAAACAGGACACAGGCAGTAACATACTATGACATATTAGCAGTTAGCCTAGCATCTATGAGCATGAGTATTTGGTTGATACAGTGTTCCAGCAGCCAATTTGTAAAGAAAGAAATGGGATATATTTACATATATAGTTAAAATGTAACATGCAGTTTTGCTTTTTTCAGTCCACTTCGATTCTGAACTGGAGTCAGTTTTTTTTTCTTTTTCTTTTTTCATGTCATGTTGCAATTTCCACGCCATGCTCATGCTAATGCACAGATGGGCTGTTATTTTTCTCTTGCCGCCTTGCATTGTTCCCGTGGCCGTAGCGGAGCCGTGACTGGCATTCGCCGAGGGGGGGTTTCTGCATAACGCTCGGCCTTCCCTCAAAAACCCAGCAGAAACAAACAGCTTTAACTGACGCTGAAATGTTCCATCAGCCGACGCTAACCTGACAGTCGCATCTGGCGGCGTCTCGCGATGAAATGATGGAGGGAGAGAGAAATGAAGAGATAGACGGGAGGAAAATAAAGGAGGTCATACGGAGAGAATGGATTTTAGTGAGTCCTGACAGACGGCGATTATGTTGCGGGCGTTTCGGAGTTTTTTTGGACATGCGGAATGTTGCGTATGTGTAATTAAGAGCACTCCTCTGGGCTCTTTGCATTTAGATTGCAAACAGAAAAGACACATGAAAGGAAAAAAAGAAGAAGGAAGAGAAAAAAGAAGCAGGATGCATCTGTGTATGTTTCATAAAGCAGTTTCCATCACGTCACTTGTCACGGACAGGCATGGAGCTAATCACCACTCTGAAAATAAGACATGCATATAGGCTAGCATGAATTTTTCTCACAAGGACAGACAGGGCTATTTTTCACCATGTGATGGAGCATTCACACTGCTCAATGGCTGCTGTCACTCACATCAGTCGTTAATGCACACTCAGGGGACGAAAAACAAGCATGCTAAAGCCTACCAAATTAACTTTGTGCCTTTTTTCAGATGAGTTCATGCCATAACAGAATTATTCAGTCTGCATGCCTTCAATGTGCTCTATGCTGTCTGATCTATGAAAAATTGACTGCAGGGATAAGGAGGATGCGAGCTACTCTCCATCTGTTGAGACTTTGTTTAAGTAAACCACTATTTGTTTAAGCTTTTAAGTGTATTTAGCTATAAAAGTCACCTTAACGTTCATCTGTCATTATTATATATCCAGATTTTGCATAAGTGATGATTTGCAAACTGCCTAGAAATGTCATAACACATTAATTAGCATTGAATAGGGTCCCTACCAAGCCATACTATATTCATAAACAGCTTATATCAATATTTGCAAGATGATATGAGATATTTTATGAAATAAATGAAATTATATTATGGCAGAAGGAAGAAAGAATACATAGACCACCATTAAAAGTTTGGAATCACTATTATATAATCAATTTTATATACAGTAATAACTTGAACAGTGCATTTCTAAATATTACAAACTATTCACCATAAAGCATTTTTGTGTTATATATTTGTGTGTATCTGTGCACAAGAAGTGCATAAAATGATAGACCTTATACTGTAAAAATATCTGTTTCCATTAAATTCATCTGCCTTGAGATTTGATCTCCACTTTTCCACTTATAGTCAATACTAGGTATTTTTTTTGTAACTTAATTCATGATCTTATACCACTTACTCTGCAAGTTTAGAAGCTTCTGTGGCTCAGCTGATGATTCTGAAACTATCTAGCATTTCAAAAACCTATTTACAGATTCTTATGAATTGTTTGCGCTAAATTAACATATTCGATTCACTTTGTCAGCCACCAAATTAACCTTAATATTTTTGAAAACAGTGATTCCAAACATTTGAATGGATCATGAACCATCACCAACACTGCCACAAATATTTACTCATATGAGAATGAATTTCCCTAGTCTTCGATATGTTATGTTGCTGCAGTCCAAAACAAAAAACAAAAAACATGTTAATTGTGTATCACAAACATTTGAGAAACATAGGTGTCCCCAAACTTTTGACTTTCAGCAGTGTACACAGAGTACTTAGGCAGTAGACATTGCAAAGCACATCCAGCCTCGCAGCGTTCTTCTTAACGTCACCGACGACAGCGAAGAAATGAGCAATAATCCTCGAACGCTCGTGTTAACTCAGTATGGGGCCCGAGCAATTTCGGCAGTTCATCGGTCCCACAGAGGAATCACAGGCAGAGATAAGAGGGGCTCGCCCTGTCAGAGAAACTAGCAGGTGGCAAAGCGCTTCTGCCGTTAGTGCGCTAATCAGACAAGAGTTTCATTCACTACGTTTGAGTCACTCATTATATTTGATTAAACCGCTTTCATGTTATTTCAAGTCATTTTAAATGCAGGCTGCAAAATAAATAGGTGCCTTTGACTTTCAAATCTTTGATCTTGAGATACTCAAGAAGGAAAAAGTTGAACGCCTTCTTGCAATAATTTAACAGTTAGCCTCTCCAGCTCAACATCACAGGTTTTGCAGCATATTGTGTCCAGTGATCATTGTGCATTGGGCAGAGTATGTGAGGGTGGGGAAGAGAGGGGCTGCTGTTAGAATTCCAGCCACATCTCCCCAGAGCTTTTACTCAAAGCAACCTGAGGAAGGCTTCCACGCATGCGTACTTAAAGCCCGACTCACTAGCACACTAATGGCCTCTGCAGTAGCTCACAGAGGCCTGAACAAAATGGAAATGTAGCATTTACCCACTGCACTCATGCAGTCCAGAGTATGAAGGGTGTGGTCAATAAAACAATACATAACAACTGGATAAATTGCTTTATCCAAAGCCTCAACCTGTTAATAGGCTGCCACTTTACAGCAGTGCACTAAATTAGAAGTTTACAATAGTGTGCTTTTTTTAAATCTACCACTTTATGATAGTACTCTGCTTTTGAAGTCCATCACTTTACAATAGTACACTATTTTTGAAGTCCATCACTTTAGAGTAATACACTACTTTTAAAATCCACCACTTTACAATAGTACACTACTTTTGAAACCCATCACTTTACAGCAGTACACTACTTTTGAAATCCACCACTTTAAAGTAATACACTACTTTTACAATCCACTACTTAGTACACTACTTTTGAAATCCATCACTTTACAGTAGTACACTACTTTGAAGTTCACCACTTTACAGAAATATGCTACTTTTACAGTCCAACACTTTACAGTAGTGCACTTTTTTTGAAGTCTGTCACTTTACAATATACAATAGTGAACTGCTTTTGAAGACTACTACTTTACAACAAGTCAAGTCAAGTCAAAGTTTCTTTATATAGTGCTTTTTTTACAACCAGTATTGTCAGAAAGCAGCTTTACTGCTGAATTTTTGAAGCTCGCCACTTTACAATAGTGATCTATTTTTGAAGCCTGGAACTTTACACTATTGTATTAGGAGGCCACTATTTTATACTCTTGTTGAGAAGCATACAGGAGAACCTCTACTTCTCTAAATCTTACTATGCACCACTCTCATCCAAACAAAGTAGATTAGCAGGCACAGCATAACTGTAATGCACTGTGGAGACAACACTATGCCCATACACATCTGATAGGTCAACTCAGAGCCTTACACATAGACAGGGCTAAATGCAATAAGTGTAGCTAATAGGCCAATTACCTTGTATAGTCTGGTCTATAAGTTGATGATGGCGATAGGCTAGCACATCAGAGCCTTCGTCTGTGAATAGTTGTCTTTTTCTGAGATATTGTCAGCAGCCGTATCAGAGTAAATAAAGCCACTATTTAAACCCTGTTAAATGGTCAAGGTGATTAGCAGGAGGTTTTCAATGGTGTGTAGGTGTAGGAATCTCACACCCCTCGCAGAATGATGAATAAACCATTTAGTGAAGGAAACTCTTTAGTTGAATCATGGCGCATTCTGTTCCCTATATTAGTGTGCCACATTTCTCCAATGTAGCAAATAGAGAGCAGGGTGCTATTTCGAAAATAACGGTCATTCAAAAGGCATTTCAGTGCTGTTTTTCAAAGCCAAAGGAGATGCAGTCTCAGTCACTGGAAC